AAGAGACCAAAGTATTTAAAAGTAGACTTGTAAGTAATACAACAGGTTTAACATAATGTATAAAACGAAAAAAAATACCCCCTAAGAAAATCAAGGGGAGAAAAAGAGACCTGTCCATGGAAAGGCCTTTCCATTTTGTCTCATCGGCCTACCTGCTGCAGCTCTTAGTCACCCAATATCAGCTTGCAACTATCAGAAGCCTTCCTACTTCTGACCTAAAGAAAGATCTCTTGTGGGCTATCAAGCAAGGTTGGGTGTTATTGTCAGTGTAGCCTAATTGCATGTTATTCCACAACAAAACATGAACTTACAGTAGCAAAGTCCGTCCTTTGGAAGGATGGGAGTGCTTTAAAGTTTTTTAAAAAGAGTTTCTTTATTTGGACTTAACCCACACTCATCAAAAGCCCTTCTTTCAAGTGCTTGGCCTAGCCCAGAGCAAGGTCTTTGTGACACCAAAAGGGAGAAGAATGCTGTGTAAGGATCTTGAAGCTGCAGTAGACTGGGTAGGTACAGAGCTCACCTGATCGCTGTCCTATTATTTATTTATTTGAGTAAATTTATATGGCCACCCTCTCAGTGACGCTAGGCGTCTTACAAAAATAAAAAAGCAATATACAAATTATAAAAACGAGCAGCCCATTGCCTAGAGGTGGAGCTCTCCCTTCACAACCAGGAGGCCATGAGTTCGTTCCTAAGTAGCAGCAGATATTTCTCTGAGTTATTGTCTGCTGCGACCTCCACATAGGCATCAGGAAGGGCATCCGGACAGTAAAAGCTCAGCTCCATTCAGTCACTCCAACTCCACCCCATTGCAAGGGATTACAGGGTCGTTAAGAGAGAAAAAGAAAAGAAAATGTACAAACAATAAAAACAATAACCCCACCTCCACTCCCTAGTGACAACAATCAGTCAAATAGGCCACTTGATGAGCTCCATTCCACTCTAGAGCCCAGGGCTGTTAGTAAAACTAGGTCTTCAGCATCTTCAAAACAGTGTCAAAGTGGGAAGGTCAATACAATCTAACCTACTATCACAAAATGTATTCTGTTTTTAATTAAACTTTTCAAATGAGCGTATGTGTATCAGTCTATCTTCTTTTGTTTTTACTGGTGCATTTTCCCTAGTTTTTCCTATAATGGGTAGCTACTCTCGATGCATGTAGCCTACTAGTATTTAGGTACACTGACTCCCTTTACAGACCTTTTTGGCTGAAAATAGACAAAATTGAATTGCTGATTTTAGGATTTATTGATTTTAAAGGTTTATTTATGGGAAGAAGGTAGCTACAATATGTGGGAGGATGGAGATGGTAACTATGTTTGAAACTGCTGCAAAGATCAGAAGTCACTTCTTTGGTTACCTTTCTTGTTCCTGCTATTTTATTATTCTTTGCTTTTTTTCCCCCTTTGACTCTTTTATGATCTTTTTCTGTTTCTTCTATGCTTTTTTAATTAAAAAAAAAAAAAACTTTGTCAAGTCTGCTTTTAATAAAATTTATTCATAGTATTTAGGTACCCTGATTATAATTTCCTGACAAATAAGATCATAAAGTGAATAATTTTGAAAACAAATGTTACCTAAATAATATTTAATTTTTTTTAAAAAAATGTAAATGCAATTATCCAAGATGCTGTCATTTAAAGATAAGCAAAAGAAAAGGAGTCTTTGGACCTTTTCTGAAAACACCTGAACATGAGGCTTTTATTTATGATATTTACCTAAAACACAGGTAGTCCTTGACTTGCGACTGGTTGTTTAGCAACTGTTCAAAGCAACGGAACACACACACCCCTCCAAAAAAAGATTCTTTTGACCTTTTAAGGTCTGATTCTTTTGATTTCCATTCCTTCAGTGGTCCGAAGATTAGGTTTGGTATTCTAAAGGACCAGGGGTGGGTTCTAAAAATTTTTACTACTAGTTCTGTGGGCGTGGCTTATTTTGTGGGCGTGGCTTGGTGGTGGGGGTTATGTGACTGGGTGGGCATGGCCAACTGTTTTTGTTTTTTTTTACTTTTAAAAGCATTTTTTCTACAACCTTAAGAGGTTGCAGAAAAAAATGCTTTTAAAAGCCTCTGACGATCAGGCAACTCAGCTGGGATTGCCAGAGGCTTTTAAAGACTTTTTTTTTTTTTGAGCCGCATATCATCAGAGGCTTTTTTTTTTTTACTTTTAAAAGCATTTTTCGAACTTCCGGCAGTGACGTCAACGTGTTAGGGATGAGGGAACGGGTCTCCACTCTTGAAGTCCCTAATATCCTCGATTTGGGAGCCGATTTAGGCGCTATCAACCTTGGAGAGGTCGATAGAAGAAAGGGGAACTTCCGAGGACCTCGGGGAGGACAGCAATCCCTCCGAAGGTTCAGGAAAACCCTCTTAACTCTGATCGAGGATGAACCAGCCATTTAGGCTGGCCTGAAACGCTGACAGCTGTTTAGAGGGAAGCGAAAATCAAAAGAAAGGAAGCATCGGTGGAAATAGAAAGAGAGAACAAAGAAAGAATTGTAAAAGGTACACTTACATTTTAAAAATGCTTTTAAAAGTTAAAAAAAAAGCCTCTGATCAGGTGGGCAGGGTAAGCGAGTGGCGACTGGGCCGGGGACCGGTTCGGGGGCATGGCCAGCCAACGTTATTACCGGTTCTCCGAACTACTACAAATTTTTACTACCAGTTCTTGCAAACCGGTGCAAACCGGGAGCAACCCACCACTATAAAGGACCCCATCTAGATCAATGATTCTGAGTTCCTATAGTCTGCTTCCGTATATGAAACAGGGAAAGGTCAGTGGCCTAAATATATATTTTTTAAATTTATTTTTAAAAAGTTTTTTATTAATAATACAAAATTAAAAAAAACATTGGACATAGATATGACATCACTGGTTCCAAACATCTTCCGTCACTTTACAATAATATTAGTACTCATATAAACATATAGTTCTTAAACATATATTTATCTATAATAACAGCTATATTTTTGTTCTAAGACTATACATTTGTCTTGGCTACCCTCTTGTTATCTATCCAATCATAAAATTGTTCCCAGATTTTGTAGTACTTAGTTTCGCTTTTATCCTTGAGTTCCAAAATGAGTCTATCCATTTCTGCGCAGTTAAAGATTTTCAGTATTATTATTACAGTGACCTAAATATAGTTGAGGCTGGAGGGATGCTGGTTCTTCCATCTTAAAAAAAAAAAGTGCTGGTCATGGTTTATTGTAATTTTGGTGGGGATTCAAAGATGAGTCTAGGCGTTTGAAAGTAGCAAGATGAAGGCTGAGCAACAGGTGGAAGCAGGCCAGCCTCGGAAATAGAATGTACTGAGAGTGACTCCTAGATGGCAGAGATACAGTGCAATCTAATTCTCTAATGGTCATTCAGACTCTTGCAGCTCTGGGAGCTCATAATACTCATGCTATGATTGCCATGGGCTTCTTGTTCCTCCCAGCTTGTGTTTAGCCCCAGCATCTAAACAGGTCTGCTTCCCCTCAAAGGTAGCCACTCGCATTTTAACTGATGGCTAACATGACAGGGTAATCTGGGGGAGGGAGGCATCCGAAAGGTTTAATCCTGAAGAAAAGGAAAGGAAAGGAAAGGAAAGGAAAGGAAAGGAAAGGAAAGGAAAGGAAAGGAAAGAAGGAAAGAAAAGAATAACAGAGTTAGAAGGGACCTTGGAGGTCTTCTAGTCCAACCCCTGCTTAGGCAGGATACGGCCTACACCACTTCAGATAAATGGTTATCTAGTCTTTTCTTAAAAACTTCCAGTGTTGGAACATTCACAATTTCTGGAGGCAAGTTGTTCCATTGGTTAATTGTTCTAACTGTCAGGAAATTTCTCCTTAGTTCTAAGTTGCTTCTCTCCTTGATTAGTTTCCACCCATTGCTTCTTGTCCTGCCCTCAGGTGCTTTGGGGAATAGCTTGACTCCCTCCTCTTTATGGCAGCCTCTGAGATATTGGAACATTGCTATCATGTCACCCCTAGTTCTTCTTTTCATCAGACTAGACATATCCAGTTCCAGCAACCATTTTTTATACGTTTCTTGTCCTTGCCTCCGATATTAAAACGTCTTCTACTGGTCTAGCTTATCTATTTATAAAATGCACCACATTTTGGCCTGGTTTACATATAATGATAAGGAGCATGCAGTTTGCATCATGGTATAAAGTGTGAAAGTAGCTATTCATTATAGCATAGTATATAATTTATGAATCACGCCATTCTGGTTGCTCAATATGCCACCACAAAATATTATTATTAGTGCTATGTGTAGACCACTCAACTGTGAACAGGAAGTGGGACTCTACTGATTAATCCTGTTCCCAATATCTCACACACTAGCTTGTTCCACCCCAGATATCCACAATCATGCCGTCAAACATCTGCCACATAACCATCTCCATTTGTACAGCTGTTTTACAGGTGAGCAATAGGACTCACCCATGGACAGACAAAGAAGCTGTTGCTTAATATTTCAGAGAAAAAGGGATGGGAATTGGAATATGTAATCAAGAGGAACATATTTGTTTCCCAAGGGAATTAGGAGTTAGCACTGGGAAAGCAACAGGGGTAGCTGACATGAGAAGATCCTTTTTGAGTGCAAACTAGATTTTAGCTGTTTCCAGGAGCCATCTCGGGCCTAGGTTCATTATCCATCTATCACTTCAGAAATGTTTCTGTGGAACAGAGAAAAAGTGGTTGTTGATTTTTAGACAGCAGGGGAGTTATACAGAATGTTAGATCATTTTTTTGTCCTTTCCTAGTAATTCTCATTTACTTTCAAGCCTCAGGAATCTTAGTGATGTGTCTCTCTCATATAAATACTAGTAAATAATAATATTTTAAAAAATCACATTGCCCATTCTAAATTCAGCACAATTATCTTGCGTTGCCTTTTCAGAAACCTTGTTCAGAAATAGATGTATTTGTCTGATAGTCTGTTTGTTCCATTTCTACTTGACTCACTGGATGGTTTGGTTATTGTTGTTGGTTTTTTTTACTTCCCAAGGTCCTATCTTTGGGAGCCGATGTCCTGCCAGAATATAAGCTCCAAACACCCCGCATCAACAAGTTTACGATATTGCACTACAGCCCTTTCAAAGCAGTCTGGGATTGGCTCATTTTACTGCTTGTGATCTACACTGCCATCTTCACCCCTTACTCGGCAGCCTTCCTTCTCAATGACAGCGAAGAACAAAAGAGGCGGGTGTGTGGCTATTCCTGCAACCCCTTGAACATGGTAGACTTAATTGTGGATATTATGTTTATCATTGACATTCTCATAAACTTCCGAACGACATATGTCAACCAGAATGAAGAAGTGGTAAGTGACCCGGCGAGAATAGCAATTCACTACTTCAAAGGCTGGTTCCTAATTGACATGGTTGCTGCAATACCTTTTGACCTGCTGATCTTTGGATCTGGCTCGGATGAGGTAAGCCAAACGAAGCACGCAACGTGCTTGCTTTTAATGTTATGTGTCATCCCATAAGTACTTGCCACATGCTTCATCTCAGTTCAGACATAATCCCAACGCATGATGGTTCTTCACCTTCCCCACTTCATTTGCAAGCACAAGGAAGAGAACTGAATAATCTTAACTTATAGCAAATCATAGTTTCCCATTTTGTATGAGTGCCACAAACCAGGATATGCACAAAATATTCTTTTTTTTTCTGCCACACCAACAACGTGGGGTATGCATTTATGTGTTATTCTGTGTCACCACTGTGTGTCTGCGTGAGAATGTCTACTATGTGTTGGATGTTGACTGGAGAGATTCAGGTTCACGTCACCATCGGGGCCTATCCATGATAAAGAACTCTGTATTAAAACACTTGGGACGTAACAAATGGCCTCAACTCCTCAGTCTCAGGGGAAAAGCAAGTTGCAGAAGCAGCCTTGTCCTCTCAAAATGGATGCTGTTTTCTTCAAGGGTATTCACACCTTGGATGACATGTGCCCTTCCAATGCTCACACCCCACTCCCCCGAGCTACTTCTCTAAGTAGCATGGTTGCTTGTCCAGCATAGCACCTACCCATTTTCTGACTTCGTTGAACGCTCCTGGAGAAGACTAAGACCTCCACCCTCAAGGCTCACCAAAAACAAGAATGTTTGGTCATCTTCTGGTTTTGGCAAATAAGAGGTAGGAAAAGCCTCAAAACAGTGTCACATAGCATTAGCACTCAGACTTATGTACCGCTTCATAGTGCTTTACAGCCCTCTCTAAGCGGTTTGCAGAGTCAGCCTATTGCCCCCAACAATCTGGGACCTCATTTTACCCACCTCGGAAGGATGGAAGGCTGAGTCAACGGTGAGATATGATCTGTCAAACTGCTGGCAGCCAGTGATCAGCAGAAGCAGCCTACAGTACTGCACTCTAACCACTGCGCCACCACGGCTCAGATGAACCCCAATTCATTATTTCTGAATTAAATTTTAGAATATAGGCAAAGGTAGGGAAAATAATCCTTTCTTGTGTTCACCTTTCCTATGTAAGCAACATCCCCGAAGTATGTTGGTACATCATCTGGAATGTCAGATGCAGTGCACATCTGTACTACAGTGCCACAGTAGTAAATGTGGCAGGCCTGAAGATCCAACAAAAAAGATGGCTTCCAGGCGTGACATGGGTCAGATTCAGCTTACACAGTTAGGAAAATCTTCCCTCTTTCCTTGTAGACGCATATCCAGTTATTGCTGTTGCTCCTACTACTCCTACAATTACTGCTGCTACTACTGCTGCTGCTGCAACTATTTCTATTAGTACAGCTATTCCATTACTTACTGCATAAGGGTGAATTTTGGTGATTTTCTGAATTACCCCTTTTAAAGGCTGCTACTTCTTATTTTGTTTTTGATCAGCTCAATATTCCAGTGGTAATGGAATAGTATATCATCCTATCAATAGAAGGATTGTGAATATAGGCCAGTAGTATTATCTCATACTCTAATTACCACCTTAGTCTTTTGAGTCTTTTTTTAAAATCCCTATTGTCACAAGATCCCCCTATAGTAAAGACCCCTGCTAACAACTTTGTCAACCAGTCTTTTTGTGAAATGCCATCGCTTTTCAGAAGCTTCACCAGGAGATTCTCCAAGGCTCAGAAAGTCTTGACCTCAAGCTGTTTTTAGAAAGGCCACAAGATAATAAGCTGAATTCTACCAGCCACACCAGGTATATAATTCTGTTTGTGTATCAGCATGCTAGGGGGAAAAAAAGTAGGTGACTGATTATAATTCTTGGCATAGTGGTGGTAGGCTCCTGTGGATTCACTTAAAATCTCTGTTTTTAAAATATTATGCTTGCATACAACTGTTAAATTATGAGATTTATGGCAAAAATATGAAATAGACATTTCCAAAGGATAATGCTCATTTTCCTGTGGTTGTGCAGTATCTTCTGTAAGAATCTATGAATCAGTCTTAATTTACTCTATCTTAGCTTTGTAAAGGTAAAGGTTCCCCTCGCATATATATGCTAGTCGTTCCCGATTCTAGGGGGTGGTGCTCAACTCCGTTTCAAAGCCAAAAGCCAGTGCTGTCTGAAGACATCTCCGTGGTCATGTGGCCAGCATGACTAAATGCCAAAGGTGCATGGAACGCTGTTACCTTCCCACCAAAGGTGGTCCCTATTTTTCTACTTACATTTTTTACATGCTTTCGAACTGCTAGGTTGGCAGAAGCTGAGACAAGTAATGGGAGCTCACCCCGTTACATGGCACTAGGGATTCGAACCGCTGAACTGCCGACCTTTCGATCTACAAGCTCAGCGTCTTAGCCACTGCATCCCATTATCTTAGCTTTTTAGGAATATGCTAATTATTATATTCTATAATAACTATTTAAAATTGATTTAAAAAGAGACTAGAAAATCATATTCCTAACATTCACTATTTTCCTTAATATACACAGTTTACTACCCAATACCCCTAAACGTAGTTTATTAAAAAAAAACTGAAGTGCTCCTAATATATACTTTTTCTAAAAAGTCAACTACCCTAATATCTCCTTTTTTAAACACTACTTTTCCAAATGTATGCTCCATCTTGAAGCAGCTTTCCCACTAAAATCTTCTCTCAAGGTCTTCACTGCTGCCCATCTGTGATTCAGCAAAGTTCATTTTTGGTGGAAGATCCCACTTTGTTCCCACCAAAATCTGAGACAGGTTCCCTTTAAGTCTTTATTTAATAATAAGAAACCAAATCAGAGATCCCACATAATAATTTTAGGATACAGATTGCTCTGTGTGATAAGTCAGCCTCAAAGAACACAAATGCATTTTTTTTTATTTAAAAAAAAAGTAATACAGAGTGGAATATTAAAATTGATGATTAGCGTTAGTCAACATGGAAAATAATGTTGAACAAAGTATGACCCAGATGTAGACATAGCCTGACCCACTTTTTACCTACAAGGAACAGTTTCTAGTACATATTAAGTATAGAGCCATATATTTTGGAAGATTTAGAGCCACTTATAGAACAGGATGGCTAAGAAATATCAGTAATTAGTAATAAATATCAACTTGATTGTGCATAGCTCAGCAAGAACTTTTGTTTCCTACTAATTTAGCACCTGGCTGCTTTTGTGGGCTCAGAGACTAAAATAGGTTTAGACTGAATTAGTACTTGGATTGGCGACAGCTAAGGGAATACTCTGACTGTCTATAGGTTACGCTGAGAATGAAAAAATACATCAGGTGTCAAGCTTGACCTGAGAGCATATTTATCTAACAATTTAGCAATATTAAATAACCTATACCAGGTAGAAAGGAAAGGGCTACATTTTTTCATTCTTTCTCTGGATCCCTTCCTGACATGTTCATGTAAGATCATGTTTTTAACAGACACGGCATTTAAATGATGTGCGCTACTTAAATTATTGCAGTAATTGGAAGGGGGAATTTTTGAAGTTGAATCTCCCTTTTTTACCCTTGGATTAGATAATCAAAACTTCCTATGGCTCTTAGGATACTTTCCAGCAATCATAAAAACCCAGCTTTACACCAATACAAACATTTGTTGTTGTTAGTTGCGAAGTCGTGTCCGACCCATTGTGACCCCATGGACAACTTTCCTCCAGGTCTTCCTGTCCTCTACCATCTTCTGGAGTCCATTTAAGCTCACTCCTACTGCTTCAGTAACTCCATCCAGCCACCTCATTCTCTGTCATCTCCGTCTTCTTTTGCCCTCAATCTTTCCCAGCATTAGGTTCCTCTTCAGTGAATCCTTCCTTCTCATTAGGTGACCAAAATATTTGACTTTCATCTTCAGGATCTGGCCTTCTATAGAGCAGTCAGAGTTGACCTCCTCTAGGACTGACCAATTTGATCGCCTTGCAGTCCAAGGGACTCGCAGGAGTCTTCTCCAGCACTATAGTTCAAAGGCCTCGATTCTTTGGCGCTCAGCCTTCCTTATGGTCCAACTTTCACAGCCATACATTGCAACTGGGAAAACCATAGCCTTGACTATCCGCACTTTTGTTGGCAGGGTGATGTCTCTGCTTTTTAGTATGCTATCTAAATTTGCTATAACTTTCTTCCCCAGGAGCAAGCGTCTTTTAATTTTTTGGCTGCAGTCCCCATCTGTGGTGATCTTGGAGCCCAGGAAAATAAAATCTGTCACTACCTCTATTCCTTCCCCATCTATTTGCCAGGCATTAAGAAGGATACAAACCTGCAAAACAATAAAAATCAGCTAATTAAAATAGATGATGGAGGAAAGGAAAGCTGACTGGATACAAGCAAAAGCTTAACGGTTAAAAAATAAGCTTTGTAAGTAAAAAAGAAATTGGTTAGACTACGTTTCTTTTTTAAAACATTAAAATGCATTTGTCCAAATGCAAATGCTTCAAAAATAAGTTCTGCAATCAGACTAGTGCATTATCGTCTCCTAATATATGCTGCCCTTCAATCTAACAGCCATCATTGTAAATCAAAGTAACATCTTTATTTTGGAAATTGAAAGTTGAATAGTATTCACACTCCTGAAAGCTTCAGTAATCAGAAGTGAGGAGAAGAAAATATATAGAAAGAACTGGGGTAGCCCTGATCAATCTCCTCCAAGCAGTCATTTTCATCCAACGGACTCCTGACTAAATCCTTCCTAATACAGACATGCAGAAGCACGTTCTGGCCTCAGAGAAAGCATGTTCAAAAAGGGACCCACATAACATGCACTTGTGTTAGATATAACTTTAGTGAGTTGGCCAGTGCATGTATTGTCATCTATTGGTAATCCTCGATTTATGACCACAATTGAGCCCAAAATTTCCATTGCTAAGCAAGATGTTGTTAAGTGAGTTTTGCCTCTTCTTACGACCTTTCTTGTCACAGTTGTTAAGTGAATCACTGCTGTTGTTAAGTTAGTAACACAATTGTTAAGTGAATGTGGCTTCCCCATTGATTTTGCTGGTCAGAAGGTCGTAAAAGG